TTAGCTGTGTGTAACAAGTATATATATATATATACTTGTATCTATCTATGTTTATAGATAGATACCGTTTTTTTCTCTAATGGTAGTGCACTCCGCGAAGCCGATTTGATGACTATTTTACGATTTCCAAGCTTTTGCAGAAGCTCAACACTTTAATCTCCCACAAGAATCAAAAATAAAATCAAAACTATTTGGGGTTTTTAAATTGGATTAAGGCCAAATCTCTGCAATTTCATCTGTTATTCTGTTTTCATTTTTTTATGCTGTAATTTTATTTCAATTTCTGTTCAACTCTTGTATGTGACATTGGGATCAGTTTGCAATTTGTTTAATTTGCAATTTGTTAACGAAAAAAGCCAAATTAGATTATTTTCTCTAATAGTAGTTCACCCCGGCCAGCCGAGTTGGTGACTATTTTACGATTTCCAAGCTTTTGCAGAAGCTCAACCCTCTAAGCTTCCACTAGATCTCATCGTCAGCTACATTTTCCGACCCCACATCGATAGGTTCTGATAAGCGGTTCTCGAGATGTGGACCAATTTAAGCGACGCTCTTGGTGCACTACTATTAGAGAAAATACGGTATTCAAGACACAAAAAAAGATTGCTGTACCTATTCTCAATGGATTTCTCGTGACATTTTGAAATCTCAAAGACTTTTTTCACAGCTTCTTGCTTAGAAATCAATAGGATTGGACAAGAAAACACGGTAGTTTCACAGCTTCTTGCTTAGAAATCAGTCGAGCCCGGCACTGACATTGTTTCATAAAACAAAGCTATAAAACATCTAGAACTTACAATTCTGAGATGAAAATTTTCAAATAAACGTTGTGATTTTTTTTTCACTGACATTGTTTCATAAAACAAAGCCAAACAGCGTACAGAAAGAATCCAGGAATCGAACTAGCAAAGCTGAGCAAATCTTCACAGAATAACAAAAAGAACATGCACAAAATCAATATCGAATCAATTATAAAATAAGTGAACCATTAATGGAGAAGCTAATAGAGAAAGCCTTTTGAAAGGAGTGTTCTTGGCCTTTCCTTGCCACTCTCTTTCGCTCAGCCTTGTTATAATATACTTGTTATAATAGTAACGTAGTGAGTTGGGATAGGTATTTAGACTTATTTTCTCTTACTATAATAGCTGAATGTTCTTTAGAAATCTAAAGCTATTAATCATCAATCATTTTTTACAAAAAGGTTCCCTCTTTTTCTCGGAGATCTTGCAATAATTTGCCCAATAAGGATGCGTCCACGATCTCTTTTTTTACTCTTTTTACTCAAAAAGAGAGGGTTCACCAGTTAAATCTTGAATAAAATAGTTGAATAAAGGATTTATTGATAATTTCAGTTTTGTTTTAGTGTTGGATCGATATCTTTTATCAATTCAATTCAAGCTTTTCAATTCAAGCTCTGATTTATCCTTGATGCAAGCTCTGATTTATCCTTGATAGCAACCCATCAACAGTTTATATTTATTAATTACCGATCTTCTCATAAACTTCCAATGATCTTCCATCTTCCAATGATCTTCCATCTTCCAATGATCTTCCAATGATCCAATGAAAATACTGAGCTATAGATCTTCTCATTTATTGCTTCTCATCTGTTGCTTTGTTGCTTCGATTGAATTTTTGCTTTTTCTAGATTGTAGATGACTTTTGTAGATGACTAGGCTCCTTTCCTCTCCAAGAACTCCCCAAGGAAAACTTAAATGAATCTTTTTTTCTATTTTCTTTTCTATTTTCTTTTTGATTTTCATTAAATGATTATTAGTTTGATTGAAAAACGTCAAAAAGTTCTAGAATTTATTCATTCTAAGTAAGAATAGCGATCAAAAATCTGCTAGATCGAAACTTGATCTATAAAAAAAGTGAGGAAAAAAAAGACAAATCTGTCTTTCTTAGAAAAAGTCTCTAAATTAGCAAAAACTTGAGAAGTCTAAAGATTTCCAATTCAGAATTCTATAGAATTTTTCAAAAACATAGATGATTCCACGTCTCTCATTTGAAATTTCTCATTTCTCGCCATTTCAATTTCCCCCCAACTCCTATTATAGCCTTATTCTGTTTTTGTTTGGCCTCAAAGCCATTCGGAAATTGCCACACTTTTAGCTGAATAATACTGAATGATTGGTGTAATTTTTTTGGATCAGTTTTTTGACTCGTATCTCATTGTATCTTGTATCTAATGAGCCTGAGCCTTGTAGCCTCATTGTAACCACAAAGAACACTAGTTCAAATAAGAATTAAAAAATTTAAAATGACTGAGTACGGAACTCGAACCTGGTTCGTTTCGCTGGGGACAAGCGCGCTCCCGAATGCGCTAGGGCGGCTATTTATCAACCCTCAAAACATCCAGCTTTTTAGCTGGTAACTGTATAAATACCATACGGGCAAGATTCACTTCTGCTAGATTTTCCTTTTTGTGATGAACCCTTGTTCGTATGCAGTTATCAGCTCAAAACTTGGATGTTTTGGGTGCCAACAAATAGCCGCCCTAGCACAGTCAGCAGAGCTCTTGTCTAAGGCTCACGGGCGCCAGGTTCGACTCCCGTAGTGCCACTCAGGCTTGATTTTTCAATTTTCTAATAACACAACTATGCTATATTTTGAGACTTTTGAAAAGATTTCAGTTTATTTGGCTCAAAAACTGCTGAGAGAAAGCCCGTATAGATGGACGGACAGACGTCTCTTTTATATAGTAAATAACTCTGACTATGAACCTTTCTCAGACTCAAAAACGTTTGTCTGTGTTTGGTTCAGAAATTTGGTCTCACTCCTACGTCCATTCTTTTAGCTACTCTCCTTTTCAGCTCTCAGAAATCACCGATTGTCTCAATACTTTCAAAGCTTTACCTTTCAATCTCTACGAATTCCCGGTGAATCATTTCTTTGTCTTTCGAAAACATTTTGAACTTCCTGTGGTCATTAGGAGTCGTTCAATTCTTTGTTTTCTGTGAGAAAAGAGAAAAATTGACAAACCTGGTCGTTCGCCATCGACTTTTTTTATGAGAAAAGATGATGGGGAATTCCCTAAAGGATTGAGTCTTTTGAGAGAGTCTCTTCAGCTATCTCCCATATGTTCATCGCCGTTGAAATCGAACACAACCACAGACAAAAAGGGGTCATTTGGACACATTATCGTCGCACATTATAATGAGTTATTGTTTAGTTTTTGTTTATTATGAGTTTAGAATTTGACAATTTACAAGTTAATGTTTGATTTGATCTTTAGAGAACTCAGATTTCTTTCAGATCATTTCAATTCAGATTTCAGATCCAATTTCCAATTCAAAGTCCAATTTCATAGGTTCAAATAAGATTTTGGATCTTTCAAAGTGTAACTTTGACTTAAATTCTTACAATTCTGTTCTAGTAAAATTTTCGAATTAGTAAATAATTGATAATTTAATGATTATAATATTCTAGAGACTCTAGAATACAATAATTTAATAATTATAGCGTTCTAGAGACTCTAGAATACAATAATTTAATGATTATAGCATTCTAGAGACTCTAGAATACAATAATTTAATGATTATAGCATTCTAGAGACTCTAGAATACTATATTGATAATCATTGATGTATAATCAATGTATAATCATTGATCACCGAATTCATTCCATTTTTTTGATTCACTTATCATAGCTCTGTGCTTTATTTTCTTTTCCTCATCGAATAAACCCAAACAAACCAGCAAGCTCCTTCCTCTTCGTCCTCTTCATCCTCGTCTTCAAATTCTATCACCATTCTATCATCTGCGGGTTCTAAATAATGTTCCGTCTATTATAAATCTATTATATACGTCATTATAAAGGAAAAAGAATGTTATGATTATTTTTATTTTCATTTATGTTCATTTTTGTTCATTTTTGTTCATTTTTGTTCATTTATGTTCATTTTATGGTCATTTTATGGTCATTTATGTTCATTTTTGTTCATTTTTGTTCATTTATGTTCATTTTATGTTCATTTTATGGTCATTTATGGTCATTTATGTTCATTTTATGGTCATTTGTGGTCATTTATGGTCATTTATGTTCATTTTATGGTCATTTTTATGATCAGTTTTCTTTTGAAAATGGTTTTGTTTTCTTCTTAGTGATGGGAAAACTTTTTGGATAGAAGATTAATTGATTTTCTATTTTCACCAGCAAAATGTCAAAGATTTTCGGGATAAGATGAAAACTTTGAAATTTTAGATAACGTTGGTATGTCAAAGTCAAAAAAGTTTACGCAAAATCGCAAACGCGAAACCTGATTCCGTTTTCCTTTGACTCGTTTCCTTAAGAGCGCTTAAAATAGTCAAAAGCTGACCGAAATCCTATGCTAAACTACTAAATTGCTGCTGCTAAAGTGCTAAACGGCTAAAATGCTAAAACTAAACTACCTACAACAGGGTAACTCCTTAAAAGCAACTACCCATAACCCATAAATGAAAAACTACTCATCGAAATTGCCATCAAGCTTTACCCAAAAGGAAATCACCATCAAGCTTTTCCAATTCGAAACTTCGATAACTTCTTATCCCTGAAGCAATCCGTACATACAAAACTATAACCTTTTAGAAGATTTCAACGCTTTCCCTTTTTGGTATCTTCCCGCGAATTTATTTAGCGTATTCTACACAAAACCCCCATCCCATCCGACCGCCATTTTCAAAACTCAATTCGAAAGCAATCATCTTCACCCACACACACACAAAAACTTCTTTTATCCCAAAAAAAAATCCATCATCTTTGGAATCTATGGGAAATTTTTAGCTTCAGAAAAAGCTTTGTCACTTTTTGTGCACTTTCTCTAAACATTTCTCTAAACTCCATAAACGAAAATCAAATTTGAAGCGCGTTCACCTATTTTCGGACATTCGAACCTTTTGGCTTTTGACGATGAAATCACATTTGTTTATCCGGTTTTGCATCTTAAACATTTCATGTCATTGTTGCGAAACTTTTTCCTTTTATTTCTTATCCTTGATTTACTTTAGCTGGGTAAAATGGCCAAATTAATGCACCAGTCGAAGCAGTCCAGCTGGCATTCTGATTTGTGGAGTTTCGTTACGGAGTGAGTTTGTGTTTGAAATGAAACATGGTAAAGATTGAAACAATTTGAGTACAAATGCATTGGTGATAAGATGGATCTTGAGTCTTGTAAGTGGGGCTTGTAAGGCAGGGCTTGTAAGTAGGGCTTGTAAGTCGGGCTTGTAAGTAGGGCTTGTAAGTAGGGCTTGTAAGTAGGGCTTGTAAGTCGGGCTTGTAAGTCGGGCTTGTAAGTAGGGCTTGTAAGGAGGGCTTGTAAGTCGGGCTTGTAAGTCGGGCTTGTAAGTAGGGCTTGTAAGGAGGGCTTGTAAGGAGGGCTTGTAAGTAGGGCAATAGATCGATTGTGATCGATTAGAAACTAATTTGGTACCAGTTTCACACTAAACTAATCAATTTGAGAATGTTATGAGCTATATGGCTTAGGTTTAACGCCATTAGTTAAGGTTTAACGCCATTAGTTAAAGTTTAACGCCATCTACGCTTACTCCTTAACCTAAACCTTGAAATCGATTTGTGAAAACATTTGCTCAAGCCTCGATCCCTCGTTTGTCTTTGGAGCTTTTTTTCATTTGGTTGCCAGTGAAATACGAGGCGAAGTCGGCCTTCTTGATAAAGATGAGAAAAGAATGAAGCGAATGAGTGGTCGTGGGAATTGCCTTTAACGATTCTTTTCCATTCTTCTATTCTTCAATGTCTCTGTTTTATCTAACGATGTTGATTGGTGGGGGGAAAGAGCCGTTCTCCATTTGACCCAAAATTCTTCCCAAATTTTTCCCATCTTTGATCTTTTGACAAAGTCACGGGAATATTTGAGAGATCTAGAACCATTTCTGAAATCTATTAACTGATCATGTTTCCGAATTTGCTTCACGCAAATAATCTCACCGTTTTGGACTCATTGAATCCAAGAAATGACGAAAGCGCTTTGCTTAACATCAGGTAGAAAACAATTGGAAGTGATTTATTTTAAAGATTCCAAAGTAAAAAGCATTGCAAAAAAGGATAGATTACAAGATTTCGATGAAAAATTCTTTAAATAGCTTTACAATTTCCAGCTTTATCAGCTTTATCAGCTTTTGTAGCTCAAGCTGACTTTGTTTTTTAACTTTTCTTTTAGGAAAGCTTTATAAACCAAAAGATTTCACTTTTGCTAGCTTTCTAGAAAGCTAGCTTTCTAATAATATTGATCAAAAATGACTTTTAAATCTCAACTTTTAAATAAAATCTTTAAAAGTGACTCTTCGTTTAGTAAAAATTATAAAATTTTGGAATCAAATCGTTATTTTAAGTATAAAAATTGTGTCAACGATAGAAACTTTTTTTTAAACAAAGAAATTTAGGTTTAAAGCTGAAGAGTTAAATGAAATGAACATTTCATTGTTTTTTAAAAAAAGAATCCTTTTACAGCATTATGGCCACGACGGATACGAACAATACGAAGTGTATCTGCTCGGATCTTCAAACAGACGACTATTCACTCTTCTATGCGTGGTTTGTGAGAGATTTCAATTAGAGTGTGTTCCTCGCGAGTAATGCGTTTTTTAAAACACACACTTGGGAAAAAATTACCGTACTCTTAGCAAAAATTATTGCAAAAAAAATGAGGCAAAAGGGGTAGGCTAATTTCCGCAATTTTTTTTGCACAACAGGGTCATTTGCGCAACTGGGTCGTTTATGAAATCAATACTTAGTAGGTCCTCCGCGAGCCGCAATTACTGCTTGAATTCTCCTTGGCATGCTGTCAACCAGATCACGTAGAATTTGGGGTTCAATAGTTGTCCAGACTCGACGGATGAAGTACCAAAGCTCCACTTTTGATCCGAATAGTTTCCCCTTCAATTTCGACTTCACAAACTTCACAATCGTTCGGCCAATATCTATGATTTTGGTTTCATTTTGTTGCACTTATTGAGATCTACAAAATGAAATCAAAATCATAAAGATTGGTTCACTTAGAAAAAAGTTATGGTGAGTGTTATTTGCCGTGTTATTTGCGCAACTCACCATAACTTTTTTCTAAGTGAACCAATCTTTATGATTTCTAGTGTCATTTTGTTGCACTTATTGAGATCTACAAAATGAAATCAAAATCATAAAGATTGACCCAATTAGAAGAAAGTTATGGCGAGTTGCGCAAACGACCTAGTTGCGCAAAAAAAAAACTGCGGAAATTAGCCTACCCCAGGCAAAAATGACGAGCCCCGATTATATACGACACTTTTTAAAGATACTCAGCTGTTTAACTGATTTTTGTGGGGAATTCCCTTCCAATTGAAAAACTCATTTTTTTTGAAAAACCTGCGCAAAAAATTGCTTTTATATTTTTTCGAGCAGGCGCACTTTTTAGAAAACGCATTACTCGACAATTACTCGAGCTATTACTCGAGTAATTACTTACTTGCGAGGAACACACTCTAATTTCAATGTTCCAATGATAGTCAAATGCTTTAAAGGTACAACTATTTGCTCATAATCTTTGCTCTTCCAACTTTATCGATTTTTGGCGTTTGTACAAATATTATCAACTTGTTCATTTACTCGAGAAGAAGGTTGGTTACAGTTTTTCTTTTTCGTATTCTTTGTTCTCAATCGTTAAACTGACTTTTGAAATCTGTTTTTTTTCCAGAATGAGAAACTCAGCCAACACCTATTTGCTCTTTTTGGCTTGTTCGGATTTTCTGGTGATTCTCACGGGTCTCTTCATTTTCTGGATCGATAGTGCTCGGTGAGTGATTGATTTTCAGTTTGAGTTTTCAAAAAAGCTTTGAATCTACCCGAAAAATTCAGAAAACGAGATTCAGCTAGCTCTAGTTTTCTCTTATTGCTCTTTCGCTTTCAGCTAGTTCTAGTTTTCTCTTATTTTTTTTGATTCTTTCTATCAAGTTGTTGAGCGTCTTGACACTATTTTCCATACTTTTGTTTCAAAAACGATTTCAAAAATGAAGTGAAAATGACTATTGTTTAGAAAATGACTATTTCACAAATTTATCTATGATTTCCACCAAATAGAAAATGTTTATTGTTTGATTTTCTTTCTTTTTAAACCAATCCAAGCCAATTTCTAAGCGAATTTGAGTAGAAAAAATGGGTTTTTAGTAAAATTAGATTAAAAGTTCTGCAAAGAAATGGGTAAAACAAAGATTTCTCAGAAAATTTGATTATATGTTTAACTTTTTATGCTCTATCTTTTTTCTATTGACATGAAAATAGGTTTTTATCGATTAAAGTATCTAAATTAGGTGATAAGGAAGTCATTTTTGACGTCATTTTTTGACTAACTTTTTATCCTTGAAAAAATCCGAAACTATAACCTTTTTAGAAGATTTCAACGCTCTTTTGCAGAAAAATAATTGGCTTTCTATTAAAGTAAACGGTTCTTTTCCAATATCGGGGGAGCGGTCCGATTATCGGGGGAGCGGAAGGAAATTTTGGCAGCGCTACATATGTCCTATTTAAAATTGTGACGAACGGGAGCTTGCTTTGTTGCAAAAAGTTATCGACTCGAATTCCTCTTGAATGCTTGGGGACCTTTCGCCGTGCGCAAGTGTCACATACCCAGCGAAATAGATCTTTTCCCTTTGAGCGGACTTTCATCGATTCGCCACATTTGCAAATCCACGACTGGATGACTCCTTTGGTGACAAAATAATCGATTACCGTCGATTTCTTGACGCACAAATATCGGAGAAGCGCATCGTCGTTAAAGTTTTAAAAAAACAGTCCCGGAAATGCATTTTTCGAGGGGGCAAAATTTGCTCCCCCGATTTTCCTTTCGCTCCCCCGATAATCTTTCCGCTCCCCCGATATTGGAAAAGTACCAAGTAAACAGTAAATCTATTGGTGAATTGATCATGATCATGGATTTCTAAACGGATGGCTGAAAAAAAAGCGATCAAGATTTATTCACCAATCTAATAAGGTTGATTACACTGACTATGAGTATACATGTAAGATGACTAATTGACACTGACTATTTATAAAATGTTTCAAATTTCAGGTCGTATATCCCTGAATTGGCTCGAGCTCCCTACACAACAGTTTACACTCTTCCTTTCGGATACATGGCTCAAACGTGTAGCATCTATTTCACCGTCGCTGCCGCCGTCGATTGTTTTGTGAAGGTGAGTGATGATAAATATGAGAAAGTTTGTGGGAAATAGTACAACCAGAGCTGGCTTTATCTATTTCGATACTTTTTTTAATATTTGAATTGATCATGATCATGGATTTCTAAACGGAAGGATGAAAAAAAGCAGTCAAAATTTATTCACCAATCTAATAAGGTTGATTACACTGACTTTTTTTTAACATTTTACCCAAAATTAACATCGTCCTTTTATTTATAAACTCAAAAGGAAAGGTTTTTTTAACAGAAAGTCAGTTAGTTAAAGTTTAGCAATAAAAATTCATACTTTATTCTTTAGGAATCCAAATAAGGAATCCAAAATTATCTATTTTCTGCCCTTTGCAAAATTAGTCAACAATATTGATCGACTGGATTGTTAACTATAAGCCAACTGGTAAAAGGATTCACTTGAATTCGTTTAGGAAATGAATCTTACTATAGAATCGAGTCTTTTAACTAAGTCATCTTTAACTCCAGATCTAGCTGCAAGTGCTGTTTTGTTTTGAAAAACTCACCTTTACAGGCATGCATGCGACGCCGGTCCACCCACTACTGTACGGTGAAAAACGCAAAGAATATCTGTTACTGTATCACTGGGATCAGTGTACTTTATAATTCTTTGCGATTTCCACAATTTAATCTAAGGAAATGCTTTCACGAGCCAAGCCAGGTAAGCTCTTGAATCAATCAAGCTTTTTAAAGTGCAATTTTCAGGAAACGATCATTGAAATCTGCCCGACGACTCTTTTCTATACAATCAACACAATTTACAATGTTTATATGTATATGGTTGGTTGGATTGTAAAACTTTTAAAAGCAATGAAAGTTTAGGTTTTGATGACTTTGTTGCCTTTTCTGTTTCTTTTGATTCTCAACGCGATCATCGTCATTCGACAAAGCGTTCCGGCAAGACCAGCTTTTAAACCGACACAGAATGGGCACACGATGTGAGTAGCTTCGACTCAATTTTCCCTTTCATTTTTTAGCTATTTAGCGACTAAACTTGCTATAAAAGCTTTCTTTTACCTAAAACTTCATTTCAACTTTCAGAATTGAACCCGAGGAGAAAATTGGTGGCACCGGGGATGACACGATCACGATGATCATGGTTGTCGTCCTCTTTTTAATGTGTAACACTTTGGTGAGTGAATCTTTCTTCGTTTATATCTTTCAAATAACTTTGAATTATAGCTGATTCACAATATTTTAGGCTCTCTTTGTGAACATCTATGAGACTCTATTCGAACCGGATCAACTCATCATCAATTATTTAACCGATGCCTCGAATTTCCTTGTCATTCTGAATTCATCAGTGAACTGTGTGATCTATTTCATCTTTAACAAAGATTATCGCTTATTGTTGTTGTAAGTTTTGTTTTGGAAAAGGAAAACTAGAAAAGCTAGAATCTAGAAAAGCTAGAAACTAGAAAAGCTAGAATCTAGAAAAGCTAGAATCTAGAAAATCTAGAATCGAGAAAAGCTAGAATCTAGAAAATCTAGAATCGAGAAAAACTAGAAAAGCTAGGATCTAGAAATTCTAGAATCTAGAAAAGCTAGAAACTAGAAAAGCTAGAATCTAGAAAAATTAGAATCTAGAAAATCTAGAATCTAGAAAAAAACTCTAGAAAACACGCTGAACGAGTGAAACGGATATTGCGAGCCGAGTATTTTTGCTGTTCTACAGGTTTGTTGCTCATAAAAAGAATGACTTCAATTTGAATTATAGATTTGAATTTAGGCGAACGCAATACATCCTATCAACCGGTGAGCGCCATTCACGAGAAAGTCTCTCAGCCGAGTATTCAAAAAGCTGTACCTGATTATCCACGACAAGAGAATCATGAACCTAATGGTAAAGGATTCATTTCAAATTTTCTAGATTAAAATTCAGCTCCTCCCCTGGAATTACCCGAATCTCCAGTTTGGCAACCCCAACCGTTAACCCAGCAACGATTGCTAGGTTTAGAGCATTGGGTGACAGGTAGCTGCTATTATTAAAGAATTATTGCAATATTTTTTTTGCAATAAATCTAAATTTCAAATAGATTTTACAGAATTGCACAATAATTCGATTAATGAACCGGATTGGAATTGCGAGGAATCTGTGGTGGACAGTGGATGGGGAGACTCGGTGTCGACTAGACAAGTAAATATCAAAAAGACAAGAAAAAAGAAAATGATTGCTTGGTTTAATGGTAGAATGCTTGAGTGTCCGCGTTCGATTCTTGGACTGCGTTTAGAAACTAGAGATTTCCTGATGACTTGTATTTAAACGTGTGGTTGATAGCTTGTGTCTTGAATCTGATCAAAAAAACAAAATGTTATCAATACAAACAATCATTTACTTCAATGGGAAAGGAAGAAAAAGGCCGGCTTATATAGCTGTCGACTACAGTAGGACAAGACAGAAAGGATACGCTTTAGCAAGCAATACAACAAAGCAAACAATGACGTAAATAGGTATTGATTATAGATTCAACACCATTTGCTTGTAAATAGGTATTGATTATAATAGGTTGATGCATAAGTCTTTTCGTTTTTTTTGTACTTCTGTTAAAAAGTAACAAATTCACGAATTAATCTATAGTTTGCTCTATAAAAAAAGTGTTTTTTTGTTCAATTTGCATCTTTTTAAATGAATTTCGGTTCACTTTCAAGCAAATTCGAGAGTGAAAAACGCCTTTTTCGTAAAAATCTATAAAAAACTCTACGGAAAAATTGGCTGAATGAATTTCTCTGAAATTTTGGCGAAATATCAAACGTTTTTTTTCTCTATCTTTTATCTATTGACACGAAGATAGGTTTTCTTTAGCTAAGGTGTCTAAACCGCATCATCGAGTTAGCCCTTTTTGACTACCCGACTTCATACTCTCAAGAAAATCCAGGCATTAAATATTTTTAAACCCGTTTTAATGTTATTTTGCAGAAAAATAATTGGTTTTTCTAATGAAATCAACCGTAGTTTAATTCGTGCATTTGTTGGCTTGAAACGGCAGACGAAAAGGAACAAAAACACTTATGCATCAACCTAATATTGGGTTGGGGAGAATGAGTCGACGCCGAAAATGAAAAAAATGTCTAAAACTTCTATTCGACTTCGTCAAATAATATGCGTTTGATATCAGTAGAATGGCTAACTAATTCTCTACAAAATGACATTTAAAAGAAATTCAAACAGCGCCTCCGCTCAAGAAAAAGCCATTTTTTCACAAAAACTACAAACTGTCATCTAGAAAAAAACATTGGTGGGATCTTCCTGCAAATTTGGCAACTTAAGTAATTGAATGTGCTCTATCTTTTTTATATAAACACCAAAGAAGGTTTATGTGAAAGAAACTGTTCAAATGATGAGTCGGACTCTTTGCCATTTTAACCAGCTGCGTTTGGAAGTTCATAAACTCCACGAAAGAAAAGCTTTGTGGAATCTCTCAAGAGTCATTTTGTAGAGAAATAGTGGATCCTTTTGATGAAACCAAACGTATGTTTAAAGAAGGCTTTATGTGTGCAAAAAATCCCTTTAAAGTTTGGCGCCGACTCATTCTCCCCAACCCAATAGATTCAACACTGAATCTCGAATAAGCCTGAAATTCTAGGCTCCAGAATTGCCGAGTGCTCGTCGCTGGATTGCGGAAGTGAAAATTGTTGAAGGGGTGAGCAGTCAACGGCCGCATATCGTCGTCAAACCTTTGAATTCTCAAGATTCAATCTCTGTCACTCCTCTATAATTTGTTAAACTTTTGGGTATTCATTTCTTTATTTTATGTAATGATGAAGGTAAAAAGTATCAATTTTACGTCTGTCAAAGCTTTCGGTGAAAATGTGGAATAGCAAAGCGTTTCGTTGTACTTGGTGTACTTTATCCGAATGTAAACTCATTCTTTTCGGCGCACTCTCATCCAGTGCACCAAAGTGGATGCGTTTACATTTCAAGCAAGTGCACAAACTCAAAACAAGTTGACTCTTTGCGTTTCCGTTTCAGCATATCTTTGTCCTTATTTCTGTTTGCGGTGTACTCGATGAGCATAATCTTTTTTTAATCTTTTCTACTCTTTTTTTTATTCAAGAGCTATTTGAGAACACAGTGTGTCATCATCCCAAAGTGTCCTTGCTTTTCTCGTGTCTAATTTGTATTTTCTTTGGAAAAGACATCAAATAAAATGTTTCAAAAAAGGGTAGAGCATTTTTGATCGTAAAAAAATCGTCGACGGCGGCCGCATATCGTCGTCAAACCTTTAAAATTGTGCTTTGAAAGTAAATTCAATAGCTACACTACTATCATTACCTTATCATTAAAGATGTTTCTTTTTAAAACGTGTTTTAACGTTGTCATACCGTAATCATACCGTAATCTTCTTCTAGTTACCCTAATCCTAGTCTTTTTCTACCATAATCTATCGTCTTTGATTTGATTTTTGAGGGTTGACAAAGGACACTGAAAGGTGGATTGGGTTGGATAAAATCGATTGGATTGAAAAACGTGGATTGAATAAACGCAAGACAAGTTCCAATACGGTTCCAATACAGTATTCCAATACAGTATTCCAATACGGTTCCAATACGGTTCCAATATAGTATTCCAATATGGTTCCAATACGGTTCCAATCTAGTATTCCAATACGGTTCCAATACGGTTCCAATACAGTATTCCAATACGGTTCCAATACGGTTCCAATACAGTATTCCAATACGGTTCCAATACGGTTCCAATATAGTATTCCAATATGGTTCCAATACGGTTCCAATACGGTTCCAATACGGTTCCAATACGGTTCCAATACAGTATTCCAATACGGTTCCAATACGGTTCCAATATAGTATTCCAATATGGTTCCAATACGGTTCCAATCTAGTATTCCAATACGGTTCCAATACAGTATTCCAATACGGTTCCAATACGGTTCCAATCTAGTATTCCAATACGGTTCCAATACAGTATTCCAATACGGTTCCAATACAGTATTCCAATACGGTTCCAATACGGTTCCAATATAGTATTCCAATATGGTTCCAATACGGTTCCAATCTAGTATTCCAATACGGTTCCAATACAGTATTCCAATACGGTTCCAATACGGTTCCAATCTAGTATTCCAATACGGTTCCAATACAGTATTCCAATACGGTTCCAATACAGTATTCCAATACGGTTCCAATACGGTTCCAATACGGTTCCAATACGGTTCCAATACAGTATTCCAGTACGGTTCCAATACGGTTCCAATATAGTATTCCAATATGGTTCCAATACGGTTCCAATACGGTTCCAATACGGTTCCAATACGGTTCCAATACGGTTCCAATAAAGTATTCCAATACGGTTCCAATACGGTTCCAATATAGTATTCCAATATGGTTCCAATACAGTATTCCAATACGGTTCCAATACGGTTCCAATATAGTATTCCAATATGGTTCCAATACGGTTCCAATCTAGTATTCCAATACGGTTCCAATACAGTATTCCAATACAGTATTCCAATACGGTTCCAATACGGTTCCAATATAGTATTCCAATATGGTTCCAATACGGTTCCAATCTAGTATTCCAATACGGTTCCAATACGGTTCCAATACAGTATTCCAATACGGTTCCAATACGGTTCCAATACAGTATTCCAATACGGTTCCAATACGGTTCCAATACAGTATTCCAATACGGTTCCAATACGGTTCCAATATAGTATTCCAATATGGTTCCAATACGGTTCCAATCTAGTATTCCAATACGGTTCCAATACAGTATTCCAATACGGTTCCAATACAGTATTCCAATACGGTTCCAATACGGTTCCAATCTAGTATTCCAATACGGTTCCAATACAGTATTCCAATACGGTTCCAATACAGTATTCCAATACGGTTCCAATACAGTATTCCAATACGGTTCCAATACGGTTCCAATACGGTTCCAATACGGTTCCAATACAGTATTCCAGTACGGTTCCAATACGGTTCCAATATAGTATTCCAATATGGTTCCAATACGGTTCCAATACGGTTCCAATACGGTTCCAATACGGTTCCAATAAAGTATTCCAATACGGTTCCAATACGGTTCCAATATAGTATTCCAATATGGTTCCAATACAGTATTCCAATACGGTTCCAATACGGTTCCAATATAGTATTCCAATATGGTTCCAATACGGTTCCAATCTAGTATTCCAATACGGTTCCAATACAGTATTCCAATACGGTTCCAATACAGTATTCCAATACGGTTCCAATACGGTTCCAATACGGTTCCAATACGGTTCCAATACAGTATTCCAGTACGGTTCCAATACCTTTCTACAGCTGATACATTTAAAAAAAGCCATCTTAACTTTTCAAAACTTTCACGAAAACATTTATACTGGTAGTTTCAATAGTTTACAAGTAAAATTCACTCGTTGACAAGATTTAAAAGAGAAATTTGGGGTTTGAGTACAAGAAAAACGTTGAGAAAGGCTTTAGATTAGCTACAAAAAGATATTTCTTATTTCTTAAAAAATATATCACATTTCTGTAAATTAACTCTCGTTTGCACAGAAAAGAACAAAAAAAAAACAAACAAACAAACAATTACGGCAAAATTTGTGGGGCAAACAAAATTCACACAGGCACAATAGATTTCGGAGCAAAAAGTGCGGGTAATTTCGATGAGAAATCAATAGGATTTTCAAATTAGATTGCACGAATTCTCGGAATAACTGAATGAAAGCAGAATTGGATGATGGGGATTATTCGTTTTGTCGTTGTTCGTTTGTAGTTGTTCTACGTATTCACTTGTTGACCCAGTGCCACTTGACTCCACTGTACATCGAACGGGTCATCGGCTTGGTTGATCTAGAATGGGAAGAGAATTAAACGATTGGCAAATAAATTATCTATAGAACTTTACAAGGGAATGGTCTCAGCTCAAAGTTTAGAATCGACTGGAAACACAATGCATAGCATAGAATCGGTAATGGCGAACAAAATGCCACAAAAATAAGCTGCTAATAGCCACGGAAGCACGAGAAATCTGGCATGCAAAATCGTGATTCAAAACAGATTCCTTTATAAAGCTTCTCTCGCTGCCTGCCAGAGATGAGCTCGTGGCCTAGTGGATGAGCTCGTGGCCTAGTGGATGAGCTCGTGGCCTAGTGGATGAGCTCGTGGCCTAGTGGATGAGCTCATGGGCTAGTGGATGAGCTCGTGGCCTAGTGGATGAGCTCGTGGCCTAGTGGATGAGCTCGTGGCCTAGTGGATGAGCTCGTGGCCTAGTGGATGAGCTCGTGGCCTAGTGGATGAGCTCATGGGCTAGTGGATGAGCTCGTGGCCTAGTGGATGAGCTCGTGGCCTAGTGGATGAGCTCATGGGCTAGTGGATGAGCTCGTGGCCCAGTGGATGAGCTCGTGGCCTAGTGGATGAGCTCGTGGCCTAGTGGATGAGCTCGTGGCCCAGTGGGATGAGCTCATGGGCTAGTGGATGAGCTCGTGGCCTAGTGGATGAGCTCGTGGCCTAGTGGATGAGCTCGTGGCCTAGTGGATGAGCTCGTGGCCTAGTGGATGAGCTCATGGGCTAGTGGATGAGCTCGTGGCCTAGTGGATGAGCTCGTGGCCTAGTGGATGAGCTCATGGGCTAGTGGATGAGCTCGTGGCCTAGTGGATGAGCTCGTGGCCTAGTGGATGAGCTCGTGGCCTAGTGGATGAGCTCGTGGCCTAGTGGATGAGCTCATGGGCTAGTGGATGAGCTCGTGGCCTAGTGGATGAGCTCGTGGCCTAGTGGATGAGCTCGTGGCCTAGTGGATGAGCTCGTGGCCTAGTGGATGAGCTCGTGGCCTAGTGGATGAGCTCGTGGCCTAGTGGATGAGCTCATGGGCTAGTGGATGAGCTCGTGGCCTAGTGGATGAGCTCGTGGCCTAGTGGATGAGCTCGTGGCCTAGTGGATGAGCTCGTGGCCTAGTGGATGAGCTCGTGGCCTAGTGGATGAGCTCGTGGCCTAGTGGATAAACGCTTAGCTCTGTGAGACGGCGGTCCTCTTTTTGCGCTCGGGTTCAATTCCGCGCACATGCAAAATGTTAGATTCCTCACGTTTCCGTGGCTATGAGCGGCTTATTTTTGTGGCATTTTGTTCACCATTGCCGATTCTATGTTATGCACTGTGTTTCCAGTCGATTTCCAATGAGGGGCCCTTTTTTAAAAAACTAAAATTCCTTTTTTCTAAAAAAAAAAAGGTTTTTTTTTTTTTTTTTTGCCCCCCGGGTCGATCAAGTGCGTTGTGGTGCAATGGTTAGCACAGTTGTCTGGTAATCGAAAGGTCGCTGGGTTCGAGTCCCAGCGGCACACGAGTTTTTGATGTGCTCTAGTTCCAACTATTAATCAGATTTTAACATCATAAACCTGTGCTTTTTGCGGTGGATGTTCCCATTGAACGGTTTCTGGACTTTCCCATCGCTGTTGCCCGAAATCATCAACGTTTTGAGGAATTTTTGGTTGTGAAGGCTGTGAAGTGAGCAAACGGATTGCCTAGAAGTTATTTGTTTTTAATTGGCTAATCTTAATATTAACTATAACTGTGACTTACATCTTTCGAAATAGCGGGTCTAGCTGGAATTGGTGGCGGGGTTGGGGCTGGGTTGTTTCCAGGTGGTGGCGCGTAATGAGATCCGTAGTTGGTGAAGCCTATCAGCATCGAAGCTAAAATAAACTCTTTATTCCAGATTTTCTTTCCCATCTTCACCCTGTGCATGTCCATTTACTCCATTCTGTTGTAGCGGTTGTGGCGCTTGCACAGCTGCAGTCGGTGAGATGTTGATGTTCCTTAACGCGTTTTCCAGCCAATCATCAGCTTTCTTCTTTGTTGGACCGTTCATTTCAGCCCTGAAAAGTATTATCAAAATTTTGACTTTGATAAGAAATGAAAGAAATCACTATTTCAATGAAAGTTTATTTACCAGGAATCCTGATTAATCGAGACGAGCTCATTTTGAGAGGAACCAGTCGACTCTGGGTTGATCCAGCTTTGTGGGACTGATGGAGTGGCCAATGGATCGACAAAAGCTGGATGGCCTCGAGGGGAATTCACTAAAGTAAGGAAAGTTTTATTCAATTTTTTAGACTCTGGCTGACTGACTGACTGACTAAATCTTGTCTTTCTCAAAAGTTTTCTGAAAAGTTTACCTGTTGATGAAGAGATTGATGTGCCTTGTTGTTGCTGTTGTTGCCAGAAAGATCCTGAACTGTTCGCCAAATGGGGAATTTGACTGAAAGTTGTTCTTGAAACACAGAAAGACTTGATTTCGAATTGATAGAATCTAGATATCGATAGATATAGATACCGTATTCTCTCTAATAGAGGTGCACTCTTTAATAGTAGTGCACTCTCTAATAGTATTGCGGTCCAGGAGGGGGTTCAAAAAATAGTAGTGCACCCCCGAAAATTTGAATTTCTGTTTGCTTCTTTTTCATCTAAACCTTTTTGACTTTTATGTTTATGTGACATTCTAAAGCTATTCAAGCAAGCAAAAGTGAGGCTTTTTTTTATTCATTTATTAACTATTCTTCACATGAAAAAGTTAGCAAAAAATCTAAAATTGTTGTGCAAAGTGCAAAAACATCTTTTTGTTGTTTGTCAAGACACTGTCAGGATCAACAATCAAGTGGCCGACAAGGATCTTGTTGCTTGGATTCAAGAAATGCGGGCAAAGAAGATGCGAGTGATACGAAAAATGATTCAATGCCAAGCCAAGTTAATGTGGAAAGGTGACGAGGAATTTTCGGCATCAGAGGGATGACTAAATTTATTGTTTGTCAAGACACAAATTGTCAACTCGCCGGTCTACAATTGTATGTCAAAAGGAGCCAAAGGAGTACGTGAAAGAATTGCAAGAATTTTTGGAATAAAGTTTATATCTGTCTTACTTTGGTAAATGATAAAACTCTTTAATAGCAGTACACTTTCTAATAGTATTGCGGTCCAGGAGGGGGTTCAAAAAATAGTAGTGCGCACTACTATTAGAGAGAATACGGTAGATATAGATAGATATAGATAAAATAGATTTACATTGATTGGATGCTAGTTCGATTCCTTCAACTCACCCATTCATCGTCGTCGGTCGATTCTGCTCCTCATCTCCCTCATAAATCGGTTCATTGAACAACGAGACGCCGGTTCCAGTCTAGAAAAGCGATTTTCAAAAAAGTTTTCTAAACCTAGCACTAACAAAATACGCAGTCTGCTCATACGGATACGCGGGTTGATATTTATAGTTGAATTTTCGATAATTCTTTGCTTTCGCCATCGTTTTACGCCCGAAATCTTTCGATGAAGTGACAAATTTTGTGCACGATGTTTTAAGGGATTCAATCGCATAGTCAGTGGAGATTTTCAAATCATATCGATCAATTGATGAGATTCTAAGGGGCATTTGTTGTAAGCACGAATTTTTCCTGAATAATGTGTGCCTTTATCGATTTTCGGGCAAAATGGCGGACAAAATGGCGTTGGTTTTCGTGGCTTTGCATAATTTTGTGAAGCTTTTAAGTGAATGCATTGATTTTTAAGTGAAATAGGGCTTTTTTTGAAAATTTAGTACTTTTTTTTGAAACTTTAGTACTTTTTTTTTATTAAATCCTCTTAGAAATGGAAAACTAACTAGCTGAAGGTTGTAAATTCTATTCATTTTAGATTAGCTTATTTGAATTTTGAAGGAAAGCTTTAAAAACCAGCCTTGAGTATCGTAGAGTCGAGGCTGACTCCGTTCAATGGTCGCAACGAATACTGTCGCCGGAAATTCGCCGTCGGTTCGGGAGCGCGTAAAGAACCCTGAAATATTGATTATCTAAGATATTATATAATAAAGGAATTATCTAGCAAGATAATTACGCAAATTTGGAAATCTGACCTGTCTCTGGAAGAGTTGCGGATTGGCGACGGGACGAGGCTTAGCGATGTTGGAGAGTGGCTAAAAAGAAGATAATGATAGAATATTCAAACATTTATGCTATGCAACTATGCAAATTAATATACTTGGTTGTAAACAATTGCAATTTTTGAAACTTACCCCTAGTTTGTCTGGATTCGAAGTACTGGAGGTGACAATTGCCGTTTGCGGGTCTTGCAATCGTTCGCTCATTGGCACTTTTCTGAAATCCGGTTGAATCTCGAGATTAATATCAAATTCAAGAAAAACGTCTAAACTATATACAGAATGGATACCTAAACGAATTATAGGCCGGATTGACGCCTTTTTGGAAACTATTCGTCGACGTTGACGGCGTTGGACCATTTGAGTGCACGGGAGTTCCATTGGATGGGCTGAAAGGATAATACTACAGAAATCTTTGACATTTTACCAATTCATAGCTAAAATTACTCCAATTACTGTATGATTGTTAAATACTTGGCTTATAGACTTTTTAGAGTTCCCTTCCTAAGCCTAAGCCTAAGCATAAGCCCTTTGCCGTTGTCAACCCAACTTTGAGCTCTAATATCTTGGCGTCGAGTTGCCCAATAGAAAAAGTTTTTGTACCAATCGACAGAGAAAGACTTGGCGCATCTAATGCTACAAAGAATTTATAAATTGGATCACCCAACACCAAGATATTTGAGCTTAAAGTTAGAGTGCTAATGGGAAAAGGATAAATTGTGCGATAACGCTTCCATTTACCTCTTCTGATCCTCCCAATCGGGATTGAGCGCTTTCTCGGCCATTCCCTTTACCGCTTGTGCCGTTTCTTCATCTCTTTTCTTCTTTTTCTCTAAACAAACGGCGAAAGCACATCCAACAGCATGTGACAGCCGTTCACCCTGGAAATTTCTTGCTCAGTTCAACTTTTTTTGGAAAGCTTTGATGTTTTAATGGGATTAACGGTTGAGCTGGTTGATTTGGAGGTGCTTGTGAAAGATGTGGAGACATCTACTAAGATATAAAGAGACTAAGGCGTCTGTCTGTCGGTCTGTCTGGACAAAGACTACTCCTCCGTGCCCAGTGGGCAGTTTCAAATGTTTTTTAATTAGTTTGGCTTAGAATTTCATATAGCTGTGCAAAATGTTTTTAAATTTTTAAAAAAACCAAAAGTGCCGACGCGGGCGGGAGTCGAACCCGGGTTGTGCGGGCTAGAGGCAACGGTGCTCCATGTCACCTAATTAAAAAAACATTTGAAACTGCCCACTGGGCACGGAGGAGTAGCCTTTGTCCAGACAGACCGACAGACCGACAGACAGACGTCTTAGTCTCTTTATATCTTAGTAGATGTATCCACATCTTTCACAAACACCTCCAAATCAACCAGTGGTTAACGCGCGGATCTTTAAAACGAACGGAAGAGAGAGGTCGCGGGTTCGCCTCCTCTTGCCGCCGATTCTTTTGTTTTTCTTTCTGATATAAGATAAAGATGAATGAGTTTTTATTTCAATTTTATACAAACCGATTCTTTTGACGCCTGAAATCCGTGGCACATCCATCGCCTTGTTGCGCCGTCTCGACAAATATACGCGAAACCCCGATCATTGTTTCGATCAGGAGCACAAAATGAAACCTAAAGCAATTTATAGAAGATAGAATTGAATAGATAATCGATTTTTTTCCAATAATAATAACCTTTTCAATAGTTTGATCGACGAGAAGCCCTCGATTGTTCTCTTGATCGACAACCCTCAACCCGTCACCCGATACATACAAAACTGCTTTCACTGGTCGCCGTTTTTGGCTCTAAATTTGATTTATAAACTAGCTTAGAAACTATATTCTTGTTTAGAAGAATAGCTACCGTAAATACTGTAATAGCCCCCCCCCCCCATAATGACGATGCGAAGTGTTGCGTAGTCTAGCTTTGAACGAGTTTTTCTCGACACTGGTTTATGCTATAATGTACATTTGGGTATCAAAAAATAGCCCTGAATTTCAGCTATTTTTTGATACCAAAGACGCAATTTTTGAAAGTACGGGTGCTTTGAAAAAAATGAAATACTAAAAAACTTTTGCGACTACGCGACTGTACGAGACTGTACGAGGGGAGTGGGGTACTATTACAGTATTTACGGTATGTTTTTTTTGCCTCAATTCTTTAATCTGAACAAACGAACCCTGAGCAATTTAAGCGCTCCTTCACACACTTGCATTCCTCTCGACTCAAACACCTCGACAGCACCCAAATACTGAAATTTTTTTTTTCGTAAACTTATTTACAATTATAGATATTGTTATTTTAAACGAAAAATCTTACTTTTACATCTTTTACGACTTACTTTTACATGAAAACTGCATACTCCAGCTCGTACGGCACCCTCATCCGGTTGCCAGAGCTCTGATTTAGGTTGCGATGAGCTAAAGTGTTCAGGGTTAGAAGGGGAATTAGAAGAAACTTGGAAATAATAGTATAGTTGATAAATAGTACAATGTTAACGATAATATTAGCAATAATATTAACGCTAATACCTTTGTTGTACGAGTTCAGCAGCCGTTCTTTCGGGGCTTTTCTTCCGTCGGAGTGAGTGCCGGATCGAACGCCGTAAACGGTCCATCCCGCGCACGAAGAGGCCTCTAAAATAAAGGAATTCGGATTTTATAAAGCAATAAACCCCAAAAATGACTCAATACATTTCGGCTATTTAAGAACACAATCTATTACGCTTTTTTCATATATAGAAATAGTTATTCGACGATTTTATTGGCTCAATCAGAAATAATAAAGTTTTGGATGAGATGAAAGGAGCAGTAATGAAAGGAGCAGTAAGAAAAGAATAAGGTATTCAGTCCAAACAGGCTGGATTACGGCATTTAGCTCAGATTAGGGTATTCGGTCTAGATTAACAGGACGGTATTCAGTCTAGATTGGCAGGATTACGGTATGAGATCAGATTGGATGAGATGAAAGGAAAAGCAATAAGAAAAGAATAAGGTATTCAGTCTAAACAGCCTGGATTACGGTATCCAGTCTAGCCTATAGTATTCAGTCTAGGATAAGGTATTCAGTTTAGATTTTCTGGATTGGAAACCTTTCTGGAAACCCAAGAAATATTACAAGAAACTTTACAATTTGCATTTAACTTTATGACTAAAGAAAAATGAAAACTGTAAAATTGTGTAACAAATGATTTTTGATTAAGCAAGAATTTAAAATCGTTGAAATCTTTGGCCCTTTTGTCTCTTTGTCTTCTTGACACTCAAACGATCCAAAGATCCAAAGAAACAGATCCAAAGAAACAGAAACAGATCCATTTCCAGATCCAAAAGAAACAATCAAATTATCTTTTTTTTTGATTCAGAAGTTGTTAGATTTAGTTTTAAAAAGAAAGCACAATTCAGTTTTTTCAAAAAAAGGTAAACGTTTTTAAATGTGGCCAAAAAGAATCAATGGAATGGTTCAAACTGCATCGTGCCCCCACTTTTCTTTCTTTCTCATAAACAACATTCCCAAAGCCATATGTCGCTCTTTCTTTTCTTTTTCTATTTCTTCAGTCTTCTTCAGTTTTCCCTCTCAACCAACCCCAGCTTTTTTCTCTGGAATTCTTGTGTTTTTCGATGGTGGATGCCCAAGTTTTTTTTTGCGGGAATTTTTGACGATTCGCGTCGGCTTGAAAGACGTCGTCCAGCAAAAAATTCAAAATGACAACCCAAAAAGGGATTTTTGCGGGGAGAACGATTTTTTAACGCAAAACAAATAGAGTTACATGTCATCTTTTTTTAAGGAAAATGGTTTTGAGCATTTGTTTAAAATTTTTTTGAATCTGGGAAAGGTTTTACAGGGTTTACAGAAAGATTTTAAAGTTTTACAGAAAAAAAAAACTTCACAACTTGTAAAATGAAGATTTTTAGGATTTCTTTCAAAAGCGGTACAAGTAAAATGCTAAAAAAAACCGTAAATACTGTTATAGTACCCCACCCCCATAATGACGGTGCGGAGCGTTGCGTAGTCTAGCTTTGGACGGTTTTCTCGACACTGGTTATGCTACAATGCGCGCTAGGTGCAAAAATAGCTGAAATTCAGGGCAATTTTTGATACCAAGACGCAATTTTTAAGTACGGGGGCTGAAAAATGAATACTAATGCCCTTTGCACTACGCGACTGTACGAGGGGGGTGGTGTACTATTACAGTATTTACGGTAGCTGAGTAAGCTCTTTTTTTTAAGCTTTAATAACTATTAGCAAAGAAAGAAAGCAAAAGCAAAAGAAATCCTAGTAAAAGCCGGAGATTTGAATGCCTAGAGCAGATGAGAAATTGAGGCAAATAAAATGGGGTCATAAAGATTTTGATCGTTAAAAAAAAGATCTGATTTCTTTCTAGGTCTGAAAAGCAAAGTGATTCATTTAGCGGTACGAGTAAAATGTTAAAAAAAAGAAATTAGCTGAGTAAGCTCTTTTTTAAACTTTAAAAATCAAGTTATTGAAAGTTTTAAAGTGAACTGTGAACGGGTTGAATGTGGGGAAAAAGGAATCAATCAAGTGAACTGATTCAATGGGTAAAAAGGCTAGGACAAGCCAGGCCAGAACATATCCAAATGGATAGGGAATTGGGGACAGAAGAAGGGGCAAAGGGAAGTGGATGAGTGCCAACTGAGGGACTGCGACGTTCTTTGAGAGGTGCGAAAGATGCGGAGACAGAGGCTATTGATCTGTTTGATGAAAAGGGAAAAGAGAAAAGGGAAAAGGGAAAGGGAAAAGGGAAAGGGAAAAGGGGGGAAAAGAGGCAAAGCAGAAAAGATAGAGGAATTGAACGCCCTTTTTCAACTAAGGACCCGAAATTCCCCCGGTCACCCTTTTCGTCTGGGCCACTCTGCAATTTTACTCCTAGGCCAACGCTGTGGATGCAAAATTGGGTCTTTCCTCTTGCTTTTCACGAGAAATTTGATGGATTTCTCACTTGCACCAAAGAGAAATTGCTATATTGAATTAGCTAATTTGCTTAATTTAAAAGTTTCAGTAGAACTCTGGTTCTTGAGCTATAGCCCAGGTATTTCTAGTTTAAATGATCATAATCAGCACTTTAAACTCTATCTAACAGGCTCAAGGTTATAGCCGATTTGTTGAAACTTATCGCCTTTTACTTTAGATTTGTTGTCTATTCAAAAATTTGAATGAAAATCTTTGAACGAGTCTTTGAAACGCAACCGAATGACATAATTTCTTAGCTCATTTCATCCAAAAACTCAATTGAATTAGCTAATTTGCTTAATTAAAAAGTTTAAGTAGAACTCAGGTTCTTGAACTATAGCCCAGGTATTTCTAGTTTAAACGATCATAATCAACACTTTAAAATCTATCTAACAGGCTCCAGGTTATAGCCGATTTGTTGTCTAATCAAAAATTTGAATGAAAATCTTTGAAAGAATCTTTGAAACGCAACCGAATGACATAATTTCTTAGCTCATTTCATTCAAAAACTCAATTAAATCTGTGCGAAAAGGACTTTCATTTGAAAAGAGATTTGAATTCAAAAAAAGAAATAATGTAATTATTGGGTCCTCTATTTCAGGGTTTTCTTTTGAATGATAAGTTTATTATGGAATTGATGGTAAAATGAAAGATTTCTCGAACCTCTTTCGTTGTTGTTCGATCTCGTAGGCGTCACTGGCAGTGTCGATTGAGTGACACTGAAAAATGGGTTTTCGATAAATTTTGAACAAAAAACACTCTAATTTCTTTTGGTACTGGAAAGCTCTTTGGGAAGCTCTTCGGAAAGCTCTTCGGAAAGCTCTTCGGAAAGCTTTTCGGAAAGCTCTTTAGGAAGCTCTTCGGAAAGCTCTTCGGAAAGCTCTTTGGGAAGCTCTTCGGAAAGCTTATAAGGGGCTTCTAAAGCCTTGAAAATACAAGCATAACATTGTAAACTTTCCAAAGAATTTCAAAGTTTTAAAGGCCTGAACTAGGACTCACTAGAATCAAATTATTTTTGTTTAACAGCTTTTGTAGGATTTGTAGCATAAATATAAAGAAATTTAAGAGGAAAAATTGTTCTTTTAAGATCGGGAAATCGGGAAAATCGGGAAATCTATTCATTTTATTAAATCTACCAATTGAAACGAGTTTAATTGTTGTTTAAAGGAAGATACAAAGCGAGATATGCAACGTTAAAACTGATTTCATCTCTTAATATCTGTTAAATTATTGTTAAACAATTGACTTTAATTATTTCTTATCGGAAATTTTATGAAAAAAATTATATGACTATATCTATCTGCCAATAATTTGGTTTTTTGGTGAGAATCGATTCCAATTTTGATCTAATTTTGACCTAATTTTAAGCTTAATGAAGCTTAAAACACTTGTCATTTGTAGGTTTTTAAAAACAAAGACTTATAAAGTTATTGGCAAGCTTACCACAACAATTGGTGCAGGCTCAGGTTCGGAATGATGTTCTTCAATTGCTGTAAGTTGTGGTCGTTTCTTTCGTCGCCTCGATAATCTCGAGAGACTTCGCGTGAAAGCGTTGCTCATCTAAAACATTCAAAGGCTTTGTAAGAGTTAATAAAAAGAGGCTTTTAAAAGCCGTAATTGATTCTTTTGAAAGATACATTAAGCACAAAATTTTGTGCTGATTCGTTAGAGAAAAAGAGATCAATCGAGAGCCAAAAAATCACTGAGAGAAAAAATCAGAGAGGGAAAGACAGTCTGATGACCTTCATCGCATCTCAGTCATCCCTTTTTCTCTTCAATCTTCAATCCCAGCTATTTTCCGATCTCTTTTTTCAAAGAGTCAGCTATCCTCACGAGATTGACATAGAAAAAGAGACTATCCGCATTAGCCGGTGATTTATTGAATGGAAATTGGGTGGGAATGATTGATTTTTCAGATTGGACCTTTAAAAGGCAAGTCCTTGCAACAGTTTACGACTTGAAATTGTTAATTTTACAAAGCCTAAGCTAAGTCTAAGCTAAGCCTAAGCTAAGCCTAAGCTAAGCCTAAGCTAAGCCTAAGCTAAGCCTAAGCTAAGCCGAAGCTAAGCCGAAGCTAAGCCTAAGCCTAATCCATTGGAGATAGCCGAATTTTAAGCTTTTCTATAAAACGAAAGGTAAAAAGTTACATTAAACCCCGTACTTTTAACAACTACAAGATCAATATCGATTTAGCGCACTTTAAAACCGAAAAAGAGAGATATGAGAAGAAAGCCGTGTGCCAATAAGCTTTTTTTTTGCGATCGCTCATAAAATGGCTTTCACTCTATAGAAAACGCAAAAAAAGCGATGACAGCTCAAAAAGGGATTGAAAATTAAAGAAGAAAGAGAAAATCGGATGACTTTGAGGGGTTTTTTGGTAAAAAGAGAGCTAATATGGCTATAAAGCAGGCATCGTAGCTGTAATCTTTGAGCACTTTTAAGCCAGATTTATGTGCTTTTTTTTTAGATAATTTGAACTTTAAATTCAGATCAAAGTCAGAAGAAATCGGCTCAGCCATTGAGCCGACACAATTCACGACCACGGTTTGTGGGGGGTTTTTTTTGCTGTGAATTTTAACCAAACTACATAGCTAAAAAGGCTGTTTAGTTTTGTTCTATTCGTTGAAAAATGTTGCAAGAGATGGGGGAATTACTGATCTGACTTTGAGGGGTTTTTGGTAAAAAGAGAGCTAATATGGGTATAAAGAGGCATCGTAGCTGTAATCTTTGAGCACTTTTAAGCCAGATTTATGTGCTTTTTTTTTAGATAATTTGAATTTTAAATCAAATTATATTTCTATAAATCTATAAATCATTTAATCATACAAACAATTGAAAAAATCCTCTACAAATCAATGATTCTAATCATTTTAAGCTATAAGCTAATGTTTTTTTGTTTAATGTTTAATGATTATTGATCTTGGAGTGAGAATGAGTAGTTTTAGAATAGTTCAAAACTTTAGAATAGTTCAAAACTTAGAATAGTACTTTAGAATAGTTTAAAATAGTACTTTAGAATAGTTTAGAATAGTACTTTAGAATAGTACTTTAGAATAGTTCAAAAACCCTCCTCAATGTAGATAGTTTTTAAAAAAGATTAAAAATGAGCTGAATCAATTCTAAAACATTCTGTGAAGTGTATTAAAAACGGTGTGACACTCGACAAACATTTGAAAAATCATGTGTGAGAGAGTGAAAAATGGCCGTGATGAGCTGTCATCGGGACAAAAATGGAGCAAAGAAGATGAACAAAAAGATTGGCGAAAAGAAGAGATTGGCATTTCTTTGATTGGCAATGAAGAGGATCGCAATCAGATCACAAATGGGGGAATGGGGGAAAGGATTGGAGGAATGGTGAAATCAGATACAGAAAACACTTCATATTGGGTGCTGGAGAAGGGTTCTTTGTGGGTTTTCGGGGGGAAAGATCGGGAAATGAGGAGAGACGGGAAAGAAAGTGATGGAACGGTATTGATCGATTGATGGAAAGGGAAGAAAAGGAAAGACAAGCGGGTAACTCAACCGATCAAATTGTGCTTTGATTCGTGGAATCATGGCAAAGTTATGAAAGTTTGAACCAGACGATGAAAGGGAGAATATGGAACTTAACTCTCTCTCTGGAGTAAGCCAAACTGAGCGTTGTGGTGTAATGGTTAGCACAAGCGAAAGGTCCCGGGTTCGAATCCCGCCAGCGCAGAACTTTTTTGATCTGGCCTAGTTTCAACTTGGGAAAAGAGAATGGTTAGCACATTTGCCAGCTTGTTTTTGTGTAATGGTTAGCACATTTGCCTAAGCCTGAGCTGGTCGAATTGATCAGCACAGCGTGTTTGCCATGTCAAGCTAATTTGTCACAATAGCTCAATCAAAGAAATGCCTTTATCGACTGGTAAAGAGGCAACTCAGGTAACTCAAACAAGCACTCGCTATGATCTCATGAAAAAATTAAGGTTGAATAAACTTTGAACAAAATAAATTTGACTTTTTAGAACAAAACAAGTTCGACTTTGAAAATCGCTTCCTTCTCAGACTAGAGTTTTACAAAAAGTTGTAGATTTCTAGACAATTAGAAGTGCAAATGCAGTGCAAAGGCAGTGCAAAGGCAGTGCAAAGACAATTAGAAGTGCAAAGGCAGTGCAAAGGCAGTGCAAAGACAATTAGAAGTGCAAAGGCAGTGCAAAGACAATTAGAAGTGCAAAGGCAAAGTGCTAAGGCTTTAAAAATCAAGCAAATCAACTACTCTCCATTTCTAAACCGAATCGTATCATTGATTTTTTTTTTAAACTGACTTGTGGTGGACTCAATGCACGATGCACAAACATCATCACCGTTTCAAATCGATTGATTGAGCATTCTGAAGAAATTCGTTAAACATATGAAAACATGAAATCAACAACCAAATTGAAAACATCTAAAAAAAAGGAGATGAAGTAAAGGAGAGTAGTTCGCGTGTTTGTTTTAGCTGTTTTAGCTGTTTTTGCTGTATTTTCGAGGAGAAAAAGAGAAGAAGACGCTTCAAATTTTATCTAAAAAAACAGATGCTGAAGAAATAGTGGATGGAAATGAGAGAATTGAGGGGGAAATGCCGATCGGGAATACAAGTGAAAGCATATGTTTTCTCATGCTGAGCTAAGCTAAGCTAAGCTAAGCTTGGGTTAACTGTGAAAAGCGCTTATCTTGATCACTCGTATACTAACAGTAAGAATGTGATGTGACAAGAATGCTTATAAGTTACAAGTTATAACATTTACAACGTTACAAGGATGGAAAAGAAAAAGAGAAGAATAACAGGCAAATAGCAACTTAATGAAAAGATTGAAAGTCGGTTATTTCTACGAATGATCAAGATAAGCGCTTTTCACACATTTTTCTAGGCAAATAGGCACTAGGCAATAATTGTGACTTAAAAGAAAGTAACTTAAAGTTGTTAACGTTGAATGTATTGATAAAAGTGTTTCATTTTTTAGCATTAAACTTGTATAAAATGAGCTCTAAACCTACCGTAAATACTGTAATAGTACCCCACCCCCATAATGACGGTGCGGAGCGTTGCGTAGTCTAGCTTTGAACGAGTTTTTCTCGACACTGTTTTATGCTACAATGCGCGCTTAGGTATCAAAAAATAGCTGAAATTCAGGGCTATTTTTTGATACCAAAGGCGCATTTTTTGAAATTACGGGTGCTTTGCAAAAAAATGAAATACTAAAAAAACTTTTGCGACTACGCGACTGTACGAGGGCGGTGGGGTACTATTACAGTATTTACGGTATGTAAACTAATACCTTATTTATAAAAGCACAGCCTCCAATAGAACCGAATAACTATCGATATTCATTACAGTATTACGGTAGCTAAGTAGTTTTTCTGATTTTTCAACGGGTTTTTGATGAAAAACGTGTTTTGACCAAAAACTATTTACCTATTCATTTTTAATTCTCTATCGATTAAAAAAAAGTTTATCGAAATCGGTTTATTTCGAGCCGAGATCCAGAGGGTGACGGACTTTTGCGACTTTTGCGACTACGCGACTGTACGAGGGCGGTGGGGTACTATTACAGTATTTACGGTAATAGAATACAATAAATGTGATTCTCATAGTTTTACTAAACGTTATTTGGATATAAAGGGTTTTTTAAAGAAAAATTTTTTTTTGTTTAAACATTTCTGCTAAGTTGATGCAAAAGGGGTTTCGTTTTTTTTACGAAAATTAAATTTAATCAAAATTCCTTTAGATAACAATTCCGAGCACTAATTTCTCCCTTTTTTAGCGTTAAGAACCTTTTTTAAAAGCAGATTATAGAGATAAGGGTAATGAAGCTGGCAAAAGATTTTAGGATTTTGTTGTCAAAAATAGAAAAGTACTTTGCACTAAAAAGTACTAAATATCCAAAAGGACAAATATACAAAAGAAGATCAAATAGGATTTCCAGATTTAAAAAATAGAACATTTTATACCAAGCGCAATTTCTTTTGCATCAAACTAGTAAAGGATTTACATACTTGTTTAACCAATCTCTTGGCCTGGCCTTGTTTAATCAATCTCTTGGCCTGGCCTTGTTTAATCAATCTCTTGGCCTGGCCTTGTTTAACCAATCTCTTGGCCTGGCCTTGTTTAACCAATCTCTTGGCCTGGCCTTGTTTAACTCAATCTCTTGGCCTGGCCTTGTTTAACCAATCTCTTGGCCTGGCCAACAAAAGCCTTACCACCAATATTTTTACAAATCTTTATTTTAAAAAACAGGGAATTTAAGTCAAAGTTGTTCAGAAGAATGCTCAGAAAAATGGAAAAAGTTGAATGTTCAGAGAAAAGGAGTAACCTGAAGTGAGGAAAGGAATGGAATGGAAAAAATCGGCCAGATGCCTTTTCTTTCTCTTCTTTCCAACTCTTTTCCTTGGCATCTTTCCCTTTCTTCTCTTTTTCTCTTTTCTCTTTTCTCTTCATTTTCTCTTCTTTTCGATCACAAGGTGGACTCTTGTCGGTACTTAGTTCTTCTTATTCAAGTGCATTAAGCACATTTTCTAGGTAAAACTTGTAAAACATTTTCTATGCAAAACATTGTAACACATTTTCATCCTTCATAACTTCAAAACTACAAGGGTGCGGCAAAAGTTCCGACACTTTTTGTAAACGAGCAGTTTGACTTGGAAAAAACGCGATTTTTGAAAAACTAACACCAGATTATAAAAATTCAGATATTTTTACCCCCCTAATATACTTTTTTTACACAAAAATTGCCATCTAAACAACCTTTTGATGAGGATGTCGTTACAGCAGTTTTTCTTTTGCTGTTGAGATTTGGGTGCCCTTCGTAGAATCGCTTGAAAATCTTTTGCTGTTGAGATTTGGGTGCCCTTCGTAGAATCGCTTGAAAATCTTTCGTTTTTGAGATATAAAGTTTTTTTGTGGCTTGTTTTCAAGAAAAAAAAAAAACTCAGTTCTATCAAATGGTAACAGCAGTTTTTGGAAAAAAATTTCATTTTGCAAAGTTTAAGTCAACTTTCAACTCAAAAATCTTCAGCGACCAGACCGGGATATAAAAAAAAAATTCTCGTCAAAAAGTTATTGAGAGTTGAAATCTTTTTATGAAAATGGCTATATTTGGGGTGAAACTACCTAAATTTTTCGACTCTGGCGTTATTTTTTTGAAATTCACGCGTTTTTGAAGCCAAAAAAATGACTGCTTACAGAAAAAGTGTCAGAACTTTTGCCAAATCCTGTAGTCAAAACCCGAGCTTTCTTTTTCATTTATAAACTCTATTTCTATCTATTTTGCATCTTTATTATTTAATCAAGTAAAAAAAAAAAAAAAGAATTATCTTTATCCTCCCAAAAAAAAAACCTTAAAGAAATCATAATCTGAAATGTGTACTATTATTGAATTCACAAAAAAAGAAATCAGAAATAACAATGAAAATCCTAGAATTAAAAATGAAAAACTCTTGAATTAAACCAATATGGTTAAAAAAAAAAAGAAAGAAGAATTGAAAATTGATTTCAGCGAAATTTCAGCGAAAGCAAAGGGCAAACAAAATGACCAGACTTTTAAAGGCCCAATTTTCTATGATATTTGAAGGGAGTTCATTCAATGATGGGTTTTTGTATCAAAAAAAATCGATAGGAAAATCACAGGAATAAGGCTAAAAATGTGGGAAGAATCATGAAAATCATGAAAATCAAGAAATATTAATTAATTGGCTTTGTTTCTGCAAGAATTCTCAGCGGCGAAGACGAGGAGGAGACCCGATTTTGGTGCTGTTTGGAGGGATGGATTGTGAAGAATTTGAAGCTAATGAGCCTGGAATTTCCTTTAGTTTAGAGCTTAAAAATATTGCTTTCATTTAAGTGAACTTTGAAATGAATATCTGATTGAATACCTGATTGAATATCTTTTAGCCAATAAGTCTGAGTTTAAGAAATTCAATCAGTCAGCCAACTGGTATACTGTAGTAAACCAGAGTACTGTCTAATAAAATGAAAATCTAACAGAGAATGTCGACAATAAGGGTTAAAGGATATTTATTGTGAAGCCGGAGGAAAGGATTTGTATTGGAGGGTTTGTACTGTAGGATTTGTATTGTAGGATTTGTACTGTAGGATTTGTACTGTAGGATTTGTATTGTAGGATTTGTATTGTAGGAATTCCATTGTAGGATTTCTATTGTAGGATTTGTATTGTAGGATTTGTCTTGGAGGGTTTCTACTGTAGGATTTCTATTGTAAGATTTGTATTGTAGGCGTTGGATTGTAGGATTTGTATCTAATCAACCCAGACGACTTTTTTTGTGATCATGATCATCTGCCAGTTTAAAAAGAACTAAATCAAATAGAAGAAGATTTAAAGCGAAATCATTCAAAAGTTTCCTTCATTTATTCCTCACCTATGCCACGACTTCCCATTCGCCTTCCGATGAGCTCAACGCTTTCCCTTTCACTTTTCCACTGCTCCCTTCCTTCTCCTTTTTTGACGATTTTGACTCACCGTGGTGCTAAAATAAGAAAAACGTCTAGAAAATCGTAAAAGTAAGTGCAGAAATGGATTCTGAAACAAGTTATTGAAGAAAGTCGTGAAACTCGTGAAATTAATCTGATTCTAAGCAGTTTTTTGTTTTTCTTGTTCTTGTTCTTGTTTGTTCTTGTCCTTGTTCACGATTTTCTTGAGAAAACTTGATAAATAAGCAAAAAAAAGCGATAGAGATTAGCAAATATTCAAACAAATTAGTTAACGAATAGCTGAGAGAAATCTCTCAGCTGGCAGATGAGAGGAAACTGGCAGATGACCATGCTCAACGAGGGAGAGCCCTAATCTCGAGAGTTTTAAAAGCCACACAATCAAGTATTTGTATCACACCAAACCCATTTTTATAAAAAAAACCTTATCATGGAGTTTCTTCTCGAATCCGGCAATTGTTTTCTCGTATTTGTGCGCTTGTTCGCTCCACGCCTTTTCGATTGTGGCCAATTCGGTGGACTGAAACAAAGATTAAAGAGACTTACGTCAAAGATTCTTGGACTAGATATTAAACTCTTGTAACTAGTTGAAGTAATCAAGAAGTAATCAAGAAGTAATCAAGAAGTAATCAAGAAGTAACCAAGAAGTAATCAAGAAGTAGTCAAGAAGTAATCAGGAAGTAATCAAGAAGTAATCAAGATGTAATCAAGAAGTAATCATTGAAATCCATCTCACCAATCGATGCAAGGCTTCTTTGTAGACAGCCGACTCATCATTGTTGTTATTGTTGGTTGAGGTAACTGGAGCTTCCAAGCGTTTCTTCAGTGAGCTCGACACATCGTTCAGCCATTTGGTATACTTCTAAATCATGATTAGAGTTTTAGCTTAGAATACCAAAACTTAGAATTAGATTAGAATCCCAAAACTTAATTCTTTCATCACCCACTTTCTTATCAGCTCCTTGCGGATATTTAGGGAGATCAGCAATTGATTGGAGTGCACTTGCCACAAGAGTTCTCTCCTCTTCAACCCCTTCTTTCGAGTCTTCCTTCGATTTCTGAATTTATCAATAAGCTTTGAAACTTTTCAATGAAAAACGAGTTAGTGATTATTAGTGAAAAAAAAAATCAATTCCAATCAATTACCTTCTTATTGCTTTCTTTGTGCACTTCATCGGATACTCCCGCTTTTCCACCACCATTTCCCAATCTCTTTTCCAACTCGTGCACAACGTCAACCACCTCATGATTTCGAGCACGAAGCTCCTAGAGTTTACAAAAATATTAGTCTTATTAGTGAATCAATAAAGTGAACATGCATTACAGGCAAGAATTGACAAATGACTTGGCCAATAAATGGTCAATAAATGGCCTATTGGCCAATAAATGGCCAATAGTTGATTCCTTTTTAGATCTAGTGCACTAATTTCTTGTCTACCAGATGACAAAAGATTACAAAAAGCAGAAAAACGTACTCTAAGTCAAGTCCTAATCAGCCAGAATCAGTTGCAAGCCAAAGCCTTACAAGTAAAGATTTCTGTAC